CTCATCATAGGATAAATCATCAAAATCGGATGAGTAAGAGGTTACCTTAGAATCTTCCCCAAATTCCATCAAGCACAAGTTAGCTACTTCTTGTTCCTCTTCATCGAAACTTTCTTCATCGCTCCATGTAGCCATATGAGACCTGTGCTTATTCTTTGATTGACCATTTTTCTTCAATTGTGGGCAATCATATTTGACATGCCCTGGCTTTTTGCATTCGTAGCAAATAATTGGGTCATTCTCTTTCGGTTCATTTTTGAGGCCTTCATTTCGTTTGAATTTTCTTCCTCGATAAGGTCTCATTATTTTTCTAAACCGTTTGGCAAATAATGCCATTTCCTCGTCATCGTCATCGTCATTCGAATCACTCTCATCTTTTGTGGATTTAAGAGCAACTCCAATGTTTTTCTTCTTCTCCTTCTCCTTTGGTGTCTCGTCAATCTTGTCGAGGTCCACCTCATCTTCGAGCATCATTTCATGAGTGAGGAGTGACCCAATTAGCTCTTCAAGAGTTAAGGACGTTAAGTCCTTAGACTCGATGATTGTCGTCTTCTTTGATTGCCACGATTTTGGGAGGGAGTAGACTAACTTCCTCACAAGCTTTTCATTTGAAATGATCTCTCCATATGATTTGAGACCATTGAAAATCGTTGAAAATCTATTCGTCATAGCTTTGATATCTTCATTTGGTTTCATCTTGAAATTTTCATAGCTATGCGTTAGAATACTAATTTTAGATTTCTTTACCTCATTGGTACCTTCATGAGTGACTTGAAGTTTGTCCCATATTTCTTTGGCAGTTGTACACGATGAAACTCTTCCGTATTCATCTGGTCCAAGAGCACAAAAAATGATATGGATGGCTTTGGAGTTGAGCTGGAACATTCTTGTCTCTCCTTCTTTCCAAACCTTGGATGAGTGAGAGGATTGATGTATCCTTCTTCTACAGCATTTCATGCTCTCATGTCACTTGCTTGAGTGAAGTACATCATTCTATTCTTCCAATAGGCATAGTTAGCTCTATTGAAGAAAGGAGGCTTGTTGACGGGCATCGAATCGAGACCGGAGTCGAAGTTTGAAGCGGAGGCCATTGATAACTTTGATTATCGATATAACTCTTCCCGAATCGACTCAAGAGGTGATTAAACCTTCAAATGAGTTAGGCTCTAATGCCAATTGTTGAGTTAATCGATTGACTGAATCGGCCAAGAGGGGGGTGAATTGGCAATAAAATTTTTTGTGGAAGCTTTTGCAGAAAATTGAAAGAAATTGCACAGCGATTTAGAGTGGTTCGACTTTATCAACCAAAGTCTACGTCCACTACCTTAGCTATCCACACTAAGGATTTTCCAACAAATTCACTAATTTGTTCTTTCTTTTGAGGCCAAAGAGATGACCTTACAACTCCCTCAAGAATATACCCCAATTCTTGAGAACACTCTTTTCTCAAAGAGAAATACAAATTTGCAAACTTACAAGAAAAACCTCACAAGGAAAATATGTTTGCACAATTCTATAACAAAGAAAGAACACTCAAGAATAAATACAATTGAGCACAATAAGTGTTCTTGAAGCAAAATGAATATTGAATGAAAAATAGGCTTGAAATGCTCAAACTTGAGGCTTGATGTTTTCTCTTTGATTCTCTCTTGATTCTAATTGCTTGATGTTTCTTGTTATTGATCAATGGCTTCTAAGCTTGCTTAAATACACCTTGAATCACTTCTGAACGTTGGGGATGATTAGAGAAAATAATATAGCCGTTTTAGTGTGAAAACAATTAATAAAACAGTTTGGAGTGTGGGGGGAATCGGTACCCCCTATGGGGAATCGGTTCCCTAAGTGTAAAATTCAAATATTTCGACCGTTATACAAGGGGGAATCGGTACCCCCTGGGGGGGAATCGGTTCCCTCCGAGCATACTGGAATTCTCGGAGCCAAACCATTCAGGGGGGAATCGGTACCCCCTTTGAGGGGGGGGGGGGAATCGGTTCCCTCTGAGCAATCTGAAATTTTTGGCTTTGAAATGGTTCGAAATACTTTGTAAAATTATTTTGAAATTGTTTTAAGATTAAAACTTAATTTTACACTTTTGAGTAAGGATTAAAAATGATCTTTGAAAGATTTGGAGTAATGTTTTGATATTCGAATAATTCTATCGAATATACTTAGAAAATCATTTGGAAAATCTTAAAATTCATTTAACTTAATTTGTTATATCGAAATATCAAAATGTTTTCAACACAAACATACGCTAATATTTTGATAGATTAATTGGTTAAGGCTAGAAATAAAGGCGATTACACCGAAAAATCACATTTTAGAACTTTAATTACCTGTCAGACACCTTTTCATCTTTATTTACTGATCTAACACCCTTTGCAGGAAGACGCGACCCATGCACCGCGCCTTGTGAACGTGAGGTGCTATGTTTGTAAATATTTTTACAATAGTACCTAATATATAATTAATTTCTATTAAGGTGATATTTGTGTAAAAATGTCAACTTTATTTATTTATTTTTTGTGTGAAAAAAAGCTTTCTACTTTAAAATCTTTAAATATTCTTTTACAAATTATTTTATAACTCGATTTTTTTATTTTGCATGAAATTACATAATACGTATAATCTAGTATAGGAAACTTTTGAGGGTAAGTATTTTAAAATATGAATAATTTTATAAAAGTTTTATAACTAGTATTTCTTTTACAAAATGTTGATGATGATAATAATAAATATTTATAATTTAAAAAATTATAAATTTAATATATTTTTAAAAAAATTATTGACTTTTAAAATTAATTGTTTAAAAATATAAAAAATATTAAAATAAATTTTTAATTACAATTGACTTTTGCAATAAAAGCCACTCTACTTTTGATTTTTATGTGTGCGCGTGAGCAACTATAATCAGCAGAAAGTAATTGAAAAAGAAAGAAGCTCATACGAGGGAGAAAATGATGAGACAAAACAGTTTTTGTGAAGTTTGAGCAGAAAAGATCAACTCTTTTTTATGTTTTCATATTTTCAATTATTTTTATTTTCATTTTTTAGAAATTATTTTCTAATTTTACAACCAAACATGTTTCATCAATGTTTTCTATTTTATATAAAGTTTATATTTTCTAAAACCAACCATACGCTAATATTTTGATAGATTAATTAGTTACGGCTAGAAATTAATGTATACATTTAAAGAATTGGTATAAACTATAAAGTAGACATAAAATATCTGCATCATCATGAAAAGAAAAGAAAAACCATAAACGAATTTGTAAACTTGAAATATCGTAGTTGCTTGATTGACGACCGGAAAAGACCAGGGTAACGATTGATTTCAAAACCCAATCGTATTTTCCCCCTCAACTCTTCTGATTTAATTCGGATTGACCCATATCTCACACATGATTTTAGTTAATGAATATCTTAACGATGATTTTCTATACACATACGAACTCAAACTCAAAACCTGTTCAAATAATATGAAATTGTTTATCACTTGAATGAACCCATTACTAAAACTCAATTACGTATTAGAAGTAAAAAGTAATTATGCTGCAAAACCATTCCTCTTGCAGTTTGGTTACTACTTCAAATAGTACACTCTTTGTTTCAATTTTGAAAAAATATGTTTTCAGCAATGTTTCGTTCTTTCCTGTAGCAGCATGCATCCGAACCGTCATTTGAGCACGTTACTATCACATTTTCCCTTCTTCTTCTGGACTATCGCACACAACAGATTTCATCCAGCCTGCATTTGTTTGATCTGTGGGTGATAGTTCTGGTAACTTCTTGCTTGGTTTCAGCAAAACAATTGGAGCTATGAATAGTCTCAACGCCAAGCTTTGGGTTGTTTATAACGCTGTTTAGTGTTTACAATGGCGTTGAGACTATTACCAAGCTTGTTGATCCTTGTTGTTTATTACTGAATATCTATGATTTACTTCCGGTCTCTTTACAGTCTCTCTTAGATAGAGACATAAAAATGTTGTTCTCTCCTAAGGTTGTTGGATTCAAGCAGTTACATATATGAGACTTGTACACATTACAATGATTAAGAAAGATTTTGATCGAATTTAAAGATTGAATTAATTTTTATCTAGCATCTAAGAATTAAATTGATATTTTATCTAATTTTTATGAATTAAATTATCTTATCTAAAATTTAAAAACTAAATTAAAAATTAAAATATTTAGTAAAGTACACAAACGGTTCCTCACTGCAGGGCATTGCTTTGTCGAATCCCTTAACTATTAAAAGTTAAAATATTGTCATCTGATTATTAATATGTTTCAAACTCATATTTTTCTATTAAAAAATTAGTGACAGTTTGAGCTAGACGTTAACATACTGACTGTGATGTGATAATATATGATCTAAAATCTCAAATGACTATCACATCTCAGTCAATAGATTAATGTCACGCTAAGATTGTCAGATCAAAGACGAGTTTGTGACATATGAATAATTGAATGATCATTTTATAACTTTTAATAGTTGAGAGACTCAATAAAAAATGTCTTATAATCGAGAGATCATTTTGTAATTTTTAATAATCAATGAACTCAACAAAACATGATCCTATTGTCATCATTTACCTACTTTACCCTAATATATTTTACTAACTCATCATATCATCGATTATCAAAATAAAATAGTTTTAAAAATCAATGATAAAAAAACTGATTTACACTTATTTTCCGAAACTAGAGTGAAATTACAGTTCAGTGTTGTTTGAAACAAGAAATGTCAATCTTGTTGAAACCAAAGAAAGGAAGGATTTTTGGTTTTCCATGGTAGCCTTTTTCCTCCTACAGAAACTGTCATTGAAACTAGTACACGTTATCGTTTTCTTCCAACGACTGACCCAGCAATGAAACAACAGCAGATTGTGACTTATTGTATTATATTTTCCCTCCAAATTCCACTTCTACTCTTCAAATTCTTGACTTTTAAACACTCAAGCCGTCTCCTCTCTCAGACACAAGTTTTCTTCAATATGGCTGAAGAATCAAAAGCTCCTTTAGTTCGTTGCCCAAAGTGTGATAGTCTTATAAAGGAGCTTCCCCAGTATTCTTTATACATGTGTGGCTCTTGCGCTACTCTTCTTCGAGGTTATAATTCTCCCTTTTCACTGTATTCTTATTCTTTTGCTTCCTACATATTTTAAATATCTGAGAGATTTTGTTGGTTTTCTTTGTGAATACAGCAAAGAAGAAAGATGAACATGGAAGTGGGGTTAGTATGAAGGGTAAAAATAGGAGAAAAGAGAGGATTTTGGGAGAAAAAATTAGTGTTTCATCAAGAACAGATAAGGCTAATGGCTTCCTTGATGATATAGAACTGGGAAAATTGATGGATATGTTGATGATTATGCATCAGCATCAAAGAATCCAATGAATTATTGGGCTCATCAATGGCATGTTCATCATGACATCAACATCAGCAGGTCCAAGTCTGTTAATTCGAGTGGGGATGCCATTTCGGGATCTACTTGCCGAGATTGGATAATTTGACTCGGTCCCTGAGGCTCAAGGGTGTGGATAGAGATGGATTTAGAGGGTTTTATAAGAGGAGCCTGGAAACAATAGATGAGGGACCTTCAACTTATGGGGATGTTCCAGCCTATGGATACCACAAACCGGTTAAGAGCTTTGAGTATCTAGATGGGTTGCTGCTGCTTAAGAAGCTTGGTGAGTTGAAGGATCAACTGAGTAGATCTCATGATGTGCCTCAGAAGCCTAGGGCATTGGTTCCTGGTGGTAACAGGATGGCTTGTACTGACCATCTGGGTGGTTCTATTGGGATGTCTCTGGCTCATACTTGGTCTGCACGATATCATAATGTTTCGAAATTGATTTATTCAAATCATGATTCCATGAATGATGATGAACATATGCAGAACTTCTATGGAGATTATCTATCACCAGGCATGCATAGAAGACTTCATAATCAAGCAACACATCAACACCCTCAGCAAAGGACTTTTGGCTACTCTTCAGAGGAATATTCGGGTTTCAATGAAGATCTTCTTGCACAGTATCTGAATCAAGAGGGAGCCTTGCATCACCTCCCTGCATGTTCATGTTTATATTGCTATGACGAAAACCGGAAAGGCCCTTTGCGAGTTCAATTGACTGGTTTTGGAAATAGAAGCTCCTTGAAAGACCCTTGCAGTTCTACTTTCAACCATTATGTTAGTTCTAATAGAGTTGGGGAACATTATCCACCTATACCTCAACCAAAATTTGAAGATCCACCAGTGCACTTATGGCCAAGTGAGATCGATTCAGATATTGATGGTTTTGGTCCACGACGACGTCCTAGAAGGGTGGTGCTAACCAGCAGGAATAAGCGGCTTTATCACCCTGTAGCCAGTGGTTCTCCATTTATATCATGCTATAATTGTTTGGAGCTGTTAAGGCTGCCCAGGAAATTCAGGAAAATGATGAACAATGAGCAAAGGTTAAAACGTGGTGCTTGTTCCACAGTGATTGTGTTTGAAATGGAGAAAAAGAGATTGATTATTTCCATTCCTGGAAATCCCAATCCAACACCAACAGAAATCAAAGAAACATCACCAAGTTAGTGACCGGAAACCACCCAAGTTCTCATGGATGTTTTACTTCTGGTGGCACCATCCAAAAAACTTCAAAGGAAGATCAGAGCCCTGATAATGTTACTGATTGCACAGATTCTCCAGGATCTTTTGAGCTTTGCTTTAGTTCCGATATTCCTCCAACCGCTTCAAGTTTACCTTTTCAAGAGCTGGCTAAGAACCCCTCATCTAATGAAACAGTTGGTGGATATAGGGATAGGACTAAACCAGAACATCAATAGAAGGCTTTCCTGGTGAACAATGCTTCTCAGTTGTTCCAGGGGACAATTCACTGCTGGTGACAAATGAGGCGGGGGTTTCTTTCAATGGATATCGGAGTTCAAGTTCATCTCGAGACTCTTCGGAAGCAAGCAGAGAGCAAAACCAATTGAAACTCCACAAGGGGAGCAAATCATTTTTAGTGGGCCTTATAAAGAAAAGCTTCAGAGATTTCTCAAAATCTAATGATAACATCAGGAATGAACGGCCTAATGTTTCAGTGAACGGACAGCCAATATCTGATTATGCCGCTAAGGAGGCTGAAAAGCGAGCCGGGCCAATTCATCTGGGGAAATTACTGGTAATTCATGCATTTCCTTCTAAGCATGCATCAGTTGAGCAATATTAGACTCCATGAATATAACATACGTGTTTTAAACTCAAGAATTGAATAATTTGCTCTTCTTTGTGTGAGGTAGTGATAATATTTCTTTTAATCTGGCTTTGAAAGGTATGATTCTCGAGCCGGATTCTGGGGGTGTAATGGGACAATCATGAGATCAGTTGATTCTTAGTTAAAACTTTTATTGCAGACAGAACGTTGTTTTGCTATGGTCTTGATGTTCCTCGGTTTTTTATTTTGCAGCCATTCATCGAAGAATTTAAATACCCTATGCCCATTGAAGATATTAATTTTTTATCCATATTATTATTATTAATATTATTATTATTATTATTATTATTACTATTTATTATTATTATTATTATTATTATTATTATTATTATTATCATTATCATTATTACTATTATTATTAAATATATTAAATACATATATAAATTACAGACCAATTACAACTGGACCGGCCCAGTTACAAACCAACCAGAACCGGTCCAAATCCAACCAGAAACCCTAAATATTTGGGTTTCCAGTTAGGGTTTCCTAACCCTAATTTACCCAGCCGCCTCAGTTCACAGCCGTTGGATCTGGCAAGATCCAACGGACCAGATTGCCCCAGATAGAAACCCTAGGGTCTGATACCCTAGGGACACGCGGCCGCCGTTGCTGTCTCGCCGCCTCCGCCGCTGCCACGTCCCAACCGAAGACTCCAGAAGATAGAATACCAGCCGTCCACGCCATGGCTACTCGGTGAGTCACCACTAGTAGTCCGGTGACTCACCGAGACCCCATCTTCGGACCGGTCCGACGGCCACACCGGTGGTGGCTATAAAAGCCACCACCCCAACCTGAAAAAAAAGGAGGAGAGACGGAGAGACACAGAGAAAAAAAAAAAAAAGGAAAAGAAACAGAAACAGAGAGAGATACAAAACTACCAACGATCCCAGTCCACAACAACAGAGCAAAACACAAAAAACAGAAGGAAAAAGAGAGGAGAGAAGCTTACCAAGGAAGCCTTGATCATCGCCGGAGAACCGAAAATACCGAAGGTATTTTCATAGATTTACTCCGATTAGGAGTCTTTTTGGGGAAACAAAGGTTGGATTCGGTCTTAGGGTGTTTAGATCTACGTTTTAGGTAAATTTAGGGAATTTTCGACCACCGGAGACGGTGGTCGACGGCAGAATTCACGGCGGCAGACGGCTGCCGGATTCCCTCCGGTGAGGGAATCTAGAGAGAGGCCAGAGAGAATTCTGGCTCTCTCTCTGCTTGAGAGAGAAAAAAAAAAGAAAATGAAATGGTTGGCCCTTCGGGCCAGCCGGTTTGGACCATATATAGTCCTTCCCGAACGACGTCGTTTCGGGAAGGACTATACGAGTAATTAAAAAATAATTAAACCCCGTCCGCAGTCCTCCGAATTTATAAGCTTTACATTTTAGTCACTAAATTGAATTTATAATAATTTTTAATTCAGTCTTCGAATTTTAATTTCTTTTATTTTAGTCTTTCATATTAAAATAATATATTTAGGATAAATTACAGATTTGATACATTAATTTTAATAAATAATATTTTAATCCCTAGTTTATATTTTTAATTTATTTGAATCTAATATCCGAATTTTAGATAATTTTATTTTAGTCACCAAATAAATAAAATAAAGAAATAACATATTTAATCCCTATAATTTTGATTAATTAGATTTTTAATTTTATTTTTATTGTAATTTAGTCAGTTATTTTATATGTTTTCATTTATTTTATTGTTTTTAAATATATTATTTTAGTAGTATTTGTATTTTTATTTTATTATATTGTTAAATATTTTTATATTCATAAATATATAATAAATAGTATTTTTAAATATTTATTTTTAATATCGAAGAAAATGACAGTCTTAATACAACTGGATGTCCTATTCTGATATTTTAAAATTAAAAAGTAAACAATATTATTTAAAATTAATATTTATCAATATCAAAGAAAAGAGCTGTCTTAAGGCACCTAGAAGTTCTTTTCGGATATTTTTTAAATAAATAAATATTTTTTTTATAAATTTTGAAATAATAGAATTATAAATTAAATATATTTTTGAATTTTTAAAATTTTAATAATAGAGACACTTTATAATTAAAAAGTACCAATTTTGGGCGTTGTAGGGGTGCTAATCCTTCCCTAAACGTAACCGACCACGAATCCCTTTTTATTATTAAAAATAATGAATTTTTGGTTAAAACGCAGATCAGTTTATCTTTTAATTGATGTTTTCTTAAAAACTCTTTTAAAAGAAAATTTTTAGGTATTCGACCTACCTGATCCAAAAGGTCGATGGCGACTCACAAATTATTTTCAAAATTATTTATTCACATCAATTTCCCCGTCAAATTTAACATTTCGTGCCCGGACGAAAACCGGTTACGACAGCTTGGCGACTCTGCTGGGGACGGTCAAACTTTTAAAAATCAATTATAAATTGTCTCTATTAATTAAAAATTAAAAGTTAATATATTTAATTTTTAATTCTTTATTTTCAAATTTTTATTTATTTATTATTATAATATTTATATGTTTTATTTTATTTGCAAGTATTTTATTTCATTATTTATTTTTCTGTCAAAGGTTTGAGCATTTCTCCTCATACACAACACTTGCATTGCATAACATAAAGCTCTATAATTGAGTTGTCCCTTTTAAGTGGGAGTGAAAGCAACGTCTTCGTGAGAATTTATTCTCCGTGTCAGACCTAGCAAGTAACTTTTGGGGTTCATATACTCTATGTTTTCGTGAGAATTTATTCTCCGTGTCAGGCATAGAGAAATGTATCCCCTCGAATTGAACTCGATCCACTTTAGTTTGTAATGGACTAGGATTGAGGGTTAGCAGCCTAAGGGGGCACTAACATGGACAATTCGGGTACCTTTATTCTTAGATCTGAAAGCTTGCATATAAAAAACCTTAGAAACTCTTCCGATCAGAAGTCATGCCAAAATTTTGTCCAAAATAGGTGTACACACAGGAGAAATGAATTCTGTCTTTCCTGTTAATTTATTTATTGTTTAAATTACATGTTTATTTAAATTATTTAAATTTAGAAAAGCATGTTTAAATAAAAAAATATTTATGTAAATGTTATTATTGAATTTTTTATGTAAACTAATTTATTTTCTTTTTGTGTGTTCTTTATTTTTCTGTTTGCATAGCATCATACAGGATAAAAGATATTGATCCTTGTGTTAATTGTCTCATTGGAAAGCCTTCATCTATGGATAAAAAGTGTTCAAATCAAATAGTTCTGAACTCAGAAGTAAGACAGTGGGCTGAAGACTTACAAAGACAAGAAGGAGACAGTCTGCAGGATGATTATGTATCTGACTTGGCCAGTTATGCTCCAGTTTCACTAAAAAGAAATGATATGCAAGATTTGCGAAGCATTTGGGAAAGTTGGGATTCAAACAAAAAATTGCAGTTTTATCAGACTTACGGAGACATCCCATATTTGCTCTATGTTGAAGTTGATGATGAATTACTCAGAGCCCTAGTTCAATTCTGGAATCCAGGGTACAATTGCTTCACTTTCAATAAGGAGGACTTGGTCCCTACTATTGAAGAATATACAACTTTGTTACATCTTGAAGGTGCTTTGGAGAATCGAATATATTCAAAGTCAATTAAAACTCAACCCTTTCGAGTTAAATTAGCAAAGATTGCTGGGGTACGAGAAGAATGTGTGGTATCCCGTACAAAACAAAAAGGCGAAAGTGAAGGCATTACTTGGACCAACATTAGAAAAATTATTCAGAACCATCCAGATTATAAAGTACGATTCGATTTATTTGCTCTGGGTATATATGGTATGGTCATCTTTCCAAAAGTATTGGGATATGTTGAAGCTGCAGTGGTAGATTTGTTTGAACAGTTACCGAAGAAGATTAATCTTGTTTCTGCAATCCTAGCAGAGACCTTCATATCGTTAAATGCTTGCAGAAGACTAGGAGGTGGACGATTCTCAGGGTGTACCCAGTTGTTATATGTTTGGATCCGTAGTCATTTCTGGAGAACAGAAAAGGTTTCATACCGACGCTTTAATACGGATTATTCACCATTAAAGGAATTTCTGGAGCAGGAATGGCCTAAAGAAATTAAGAAAGATATGTGGATTAATGCCTTTCGAAATCTGCAAAGCAATGACGTTGTTTGGCGAGCCTCGTGGCAAATACAAAGGGAATTCTTTTACAGGTGTGGTGATTACAACTGGATAATGCTGCTCGGATTATGGGGAGGAATTGGATATGCACCACTTCTGGTTATAAGACAGTATGGAGGTCGTCAATTTGTACCTGTCACTGCTGGATTACAGTCATCTGAGTTCGCATTCCACAACAAAAATTATAAAAGAAATATCATGGAAGCCGTTACAGCTTGGAAAACAACTTTTTGCATCCGAGCTAAAGCAGCAAAAGAAATGTTAACTCCTGATTATGAAGAATGGAGATCTGTCAGAAAAAACGAAAATATTCCTCTATCAGATCAAAATGAGGATATCTCTATGGAAGATCGCATTAAGGTGGTTCCATCAGAGATTGAAATCTTGAGAGCTGAGTTTGAAGCAGAAAGAGAAGGCTGGTCGAAAGAATTAGAGCAAATGAGACAAGATAAAGCTATGTTGGGGGTTGACATTGACTTTCATTCATGACAATGTGCAATGTTGAGAAAAGATAAAGAAAAAGGTGAGGATGAGTACAGAGCCTTACAGAAAGATTACCAGGAGTTATATAAATCCCAAAAAGCATCAGGACCCAGCCAATCGACGGTACAGATGACCAGAGAATTGAACATTGAGAAAAGACGAGTTGAAGATCTGAAAGGAAAGAATAGCCGTCTACTCAAAAGCCTTGAGAAAGGAAAGCAAAAAATGGAAGATTATGAGGTTGACAGAAGAGAGCGAATTATAAAACACAAGGCTGAACACCGCGAGATCATGAATGAAATGCATAGAGAAAGGGATCGAGCCAAAGATTTAGAAGAGATAAAGAATGACATCTTTAATAAACTTGAAGGTGAGAAAAATAGCATGTTCAAGGGATTTGAATCTGAAATGAACCAGTTGATTGCTGAACTTGAAGTCAGAGACCAAAAGATGGAAGAATCCAATATTGAAAAGGAAAAATGGGAGCTGGAAAGAAAAAATTTCAATACCAGACTGGAGGTAGAGCATGAAGTGGCTAGCAATTGGATGAAAAGATGCAGAAATAAAGATGTTCAAATCCAGAAGCTTAATCAAAGAACGCAAGAAGCACGAACAAAACTTGAAGAGGATCTAGATCAGTCTAGAAACAAAAACTCAGAGTTTAATGCTTACATTTTGCAACTTGAAGAATCATTGTTTCAAGAAAAGGTTCGTCTAGGACCTAATGATCTCAAAGAAAGTAATGAAGAAAATGCTTCACTGCGAAGACGCATTAGAGATCTTGAAAAAATTCTGCACAATTGTCAAGTCAGAATCACTGAGTTAGAGCAAACTCTTGAAGGGACGAATGAACAATGGCAAAAGTCAACTGAGTTCTATGTCGAAAGAAGTGAAGAAAGAAGCAATATGGTGTTCGAGGCCATGGTTCAAATGAGCGAAGTTGCCAGATATGTTGGGGAACTAGCTGTTGAAGCCAAAATAATTGAGCATCAAGTTGATCCAGTTTCTAAGTGCGGAAAGAAGGTGTCATGGTTAATGAAAGAAATTATAGAGCTTAATAGGAAAGCTACGCCTTATCTGTAGTTATGAACTATTATAAAGAAACTTTTGTATGCCGATGAAAGTTGTTCTATGACAGTTAACTTTTTGGGATCAATGTGTTTACATACATGCATTTTGCATACATTCATTTCATAATTTTCACTATGAATTATTTTATTAAGTTAAAATTCATTAATTAAAATTTGGAAAAAATAATATGAAAAGATTTTTCAATCGCAGTTACTCTGGCCAAAAGAGAAATACTACATCACTACGGTACTAGACAAGCTACTAAGAGAATTATGGAGGATAAAATACAGCGTATTGAGGAACAGCATCATAAAGAACAAGAAGAAATGAGAATGAAGCTGGAAAAAATTGAAGCCAATATTGCAAATTCACAAGACAGTATGATGAAGAAAATAGAGGATATGTTTAAAAGGCAGGCTATCAGTGGAAAAATGCATGAAAATCCTGTATCTTTTGACCAAGATCCTATGTATCCTCTAGGTTTTCCGCCAGAACCAATTTATCATTCTGGTACTACACCTATACAAATCAATGCTCGTACATCTGCATTACAAGAAGTCAAACCACATGAAGATCAACAAGTGGATCCTGCATCTTCAAGCAAAAATCCGCTTATATCCGATATGAAAATAGGGGATCTTAATACTGAGCATTTGATCCCAGATTTGAATGAGCTGAATGAGAAACAAAAAGTAAATGAAGAACTGACCAGACAGATCAAGAGCTTAGAAGAACGAATGAAATCCGTGGAAATAACTGAATCATTCTATGGGTTTGATGCTAGTGAGTTGAGTTTGGTTCCAGACTTAATTCTTCCCATTAAGTTCAAGGCTCCTGAATTTGATAAATATGATGGTACTACATGCCCTTCATCCCATATTACTATGTTTTGTCGAAGAATGGCAGGGTATGTGAAAGACGAGAAATTGTTAATTCACTGCTTTCAGGATAGTTTGACAGGACCGGCTTTAAAATGGTATACTCAATTGACCAAAGCCAACATTAGATCCTGGAAAGATTTGGCTAAAGCATTTTTAGAGCAGTATCGCCATGTGACAGACATGGTCCCTGATAGATGGACTCTCCAAAATTTGGAGAAAAAGAATAATGAAACATTCAGACAGTATGCCCAGAGATGGCGTGACACTGCAGCCCAAGTTCAACCACCTTTGTCAGAAAAAGAGGCCACAGTAATGTTTGTCCATACATTAAAGGCTCCTTATCTAAACCATCTAATGGGGAATGCAACCAGAAATTTTGCAGATTTGGTCATTTCTGGAGAATTAATTGAAAATGTCTTGAAAAGCGGCAAGATTGAATCAAATGATGGGTCTAGTTCCAAAAGACCTACATACCGAAAAAAGGAGAATGAGGTCAATAATGCCAATTCTTACAGCAAGGATTCATCGAAAAGTGTTACAATAACCCAACCAAGGGTTAAGAAAGAGGAAACAAACACTAATCGAACAGAGTCCAGAGGATCTCGAAAAGAAAATGAAAGGTTGTCTTTTACACCATTACCAGTACCATATGCAGAGATCTATGATTCACTGTTAAAAGCAGATGTCATAAGGCCTTATCCTTTGGTTCCCATGCAACCACCATTCCCTCCTTGGTATGATACAAAGGCACACTGTGTTTACCATGAAGGAATTACGGGTCATTCCATTGAAAACTGTTTAGCATTCAAAAGGGTGGTTCAAAATTTGATCAACACTGGGAAGTTGGAATTCAATACACCATATGCATCAAATCATCCATTGCCAAATCATGGAGATAAAAACGTGAATGTAATTCAGGAAGAGAACAGAAAGAAAGCAAAAACTGACATTTCTGAAATTAAATCTCCGTTTGTTTGGGTATTCCAACAACTCTCTTTAGCCGGTATAATTCCACAACAATTCAGGCCAAAGCAGAATGAAGGAAAGAATTATTGTGAATATCATCAGGAGAAAGGGCATAAAATTCAACTATGTCCTGAATTTAGGGATTTGGTGCAAAAATTGATGAACAACAAAGAAATAGAATTCTTTGAAGAAGAACCCGGGAAAAAAGAAGATGATGTTTGCTCATCAGAGGATTCTAAACCAAGTCAGAGAATAAATGATCCTGTGATCATCAATGTAAAATCATCTACGACGATTCCTGCACCAATAAAACCAAAGGTAGTTATCACCACTCCTCTACCATTTCCATACAAAGATACCCGCAGGGTACCTTGGAATTATACTACCAATGTTTCAATGGTAGGAGGATCTGTTTCTCTAGATAAAACAGAAGAGAAAATACAGAGTTTGGGTACCACATCGACATCTGAAGCAGTGAGCGAGGTCGGTTTCTTTACAAGAAGTGGGAGATGTTACTCTCCCGAAACATCTAATGCTTCAGAACAAGTGAAAGCAAAAGGAAAAGCCATGGCAATACCTCAGAAGGTATTTGAGAATGAATCCCTTCCAGCATTTAATGAGCCTGTGACAGAAAAACAAGCTCAAGAATTTTTGAAATTCCTGAAACATAGTGAGTATAGTGTGGTTGAACAACTACACAAACAACAAGCGAGAATTTCTATTCTTGATCTCTTGATGAAATCAGAAGCACATAGAAATGCTTTGATGAAAATCCTCAATCAAACATTTATCCCCGAAGATATATCCCTCAATAAACTTGACAGAATTGTGGGACATATAGCCGCTGACAATTACATAACGTTCACAGATGATGAAATACCGGAAGGCGGAATGGGGTCAGTAAAAGCTTTGAACATCACGACACATTGTCATGGTCATGTGTTGCCAGGAGTATTGATTGACAATGGATCCGCTCTTAACCTGATGCCTCTAGTTACACTTCAAAGAATGCCTCTGGATCAATCACACATGAAGAGTTATCAGAACGTGGTACGAGCATTTGATGGTACTCAAAAAGAAGTGCTTGGCAAAATGGAAATACCGTTGTTAATTGGCCCAGTCGTGTACAATATTGACTTTGTGGTGATGGACATCCACCCCACATATAATTGTCTATTAGGGAGGCCATGGATTCATTCAGCAGGAGCCGTTCCCTCTTCATTACATCAGAAATTGAAATTTGTTGTTGATGGACAACTAATATGCGTCAGTGCTGAAGAAGAAATCATTGCGTCTGTAACAAGCGATGTTCCATATATCGACACCAATGATGAGGCTCTTGAATGCTCTTTTCGAGCTCTTGAATTTGTAAATGCAACCTTTATTGTAGAAGGAAGCAAAATTCCATATCCCAGATTGTCTGATTGCACCAAGATGACGGTACAACAAACTTTAGGCATTGGAGCTAAAGCTGGGAGAGGTCTAGGAAAGAATCTTCAAGGGATTTCAGTTCCTATCAGTATAAAGATGAAAAAAGACCGTTTTGGGCTAGGGTTTAAGCCCAATCTTCAGCAAAAGAACAAAGAGATGAAAAGAAGATGTGAAGACAGAAAGGCAAAATTGAAAGGGGGAGAAATCCTTTGGAAACACATGTCTTTCCCACAGTTGAAGACCACATTCAAATCAGGGGGAACAATTAATGTAGAACAACAGCTTATTGAAGCCTTTAAAGAAGAGAAGTTGAAGAAAGATCAAGACATAGTTGAAGAAGCTATGAATGGATTATTTGTCAACATGATCATGAATGACAACAAAACTGGCAAATACTTGGATAGGATCCGACCATGTCTTCCTGGAGAAACACTCACCAATTGGACCACTGAAGATCTTCTTATAGTTTTTAATATTAATGCAGAGTAATATTCCGAACTAATCTTTATGTTTAGCTAAAAATATGAAAACTTTTTGTTATCTTGTAAAAGAAATTATGTTAAATATAAGGAACTTTCTTTAAAATTTTCAGATGACAATCATTCTTTACATTTTTTTTACATTTTTACATTTATTTATTTCATAAATTTACTATATTCTTTCGGAAATATGTCCGAATTAAATTTGCAGGTGTCACCATGTTAATAGCATGTTTATTCCTAAATTTAATCCAGTGATAAATTTAGAGCAGCCCATATGTCTGGAAGAAATCAATGGTTGTGAGGATGAACTGAATTGTGATATTCCTACTGAACTATTAAGATTGGTAGAAAAAGAAGACAAACAAATTCTACCCTACAAAGAAGAGGTTGAGACTGTGAATTTGGGAACAGATGAAGAGATAAAAGAGGTGAAAATTGGTACCACTCTGACAGTCCAGATAAAACAAGAATTGATAAATCTCCTTCAAGAGTTCAAAGATATCTTTGCCTGGACGTATCAAGATATGCCTGGTTTGAGCACAGATATAGTGATACATAAGCTTCCAATCAATCCAGAATATAAACCGGTTCAACAAAAGCTCAGAAGAATGAGGCCAGAAATGTTGTTGCAAATCAAAGAAGAAGTGATGAAACAGATCAATGCAGGTTTCCTACAGGCATCTAAGTACCCAGAATGGGTAGCCAACATTGTTCCCGTACCAAAGAAAAATGGAAAAGTTCGAATGTGTGTGGATTACAGAGATCTCAACAAAGCTAGTCCGAAAGATAGCTTTCCCTTACCCCACATAGACACATTGGTGGACAATACTGCAGGGCACGCATGGTTTTCATTTATGGATGGATTTTCAGGATATAATCAGATAAAAAATGAATCCTGAAGACATGGAAAAGACGACATTTATAACCATGTGGGGCACATTCTGTTATAAAGTGATGCCATTTGGATTGAAAAATGCAGGGGCAACGTATCAAAGAGCCATGGTAACTTTGTTTCATGACATGATGCACAAAGAGATTGAAGTATATGTAGATGACATGATTGCCAAATCCCGAACTGAAGAAGAACATATTCAAAATCTGAGAAAGCTTTTCCAGAGATTGAGGAGATATCAATTAAAGCTCAACCCCGCAAAATGCACTTTTGGGGTAACTTCTGGGAAACTTTTGGGATTTGTGGTCAGCAAAAAAGGAATTGAGATTGATCCAGATAAAGTAAAAGCAATTCAAGATCTTCCACCACCCAATACAAAAAAAGAAGTTCGAGGCTTTTTGGGAAGATTAAATTATATATCTCGGTTCATTTCTCAATTAACTGACAAATGTGATCCAGTGTTCAAATTACTTCGAAAGAACAATCCTGAAGTCTGGAATGAAGAATGTCAAGAAACTTTGGATATTATTAAGAAATATTTATCCAATGCCCCAATTTTAGTATCACCAATGCCTGATAGACCATTAATTCTCTACTTGACGGTCTTCGAAAATTCGATGGGATGTGTACTAGGACAGCATGATGAATCTGGAAGAAAAGAAAAAGCTATCTATTATCTGAGCAAGAAATTTACTGATTGTGAAGTTCGATATCCACCAATACAAAAATTATGTTGTGCCCTGGTGTGGGCTACTCGAAGACTCAGACAATATATGTTATACCATACTACTTGGTTGATATCAAAACTTGATCCTTTGAAATTCTTAATGGAATCACCAGCTTTGACAGGCAGAATGGCTAGATGGCAGATGTTATTATCTGAGTTTGATATTGTATATGTCAACCAAAAAGCAATAAAAGGAAGTGTAATAGCTGATTTTCTGGCCAGTCGTGTATTAAATGATTATCAGCCTTTGAACTTTAATTTTCCCGATGAAGATCTGTTGTGCATATCCATGAATGAAGAAGTCAGAACAAATGATGAATTTGCAACTTGGAAACTTTATTTTGACGGAGCATCTAATGCTTTGGGACGAGGAATCGGGGCAGTGTTAATTTCTCCAGAAAATGTTTATTATCCCTTTACAAGTAGACTGGAGTTCTTTTGCACCAATAACATGGCGGAATATGAAGCTTGTGTCATGGGATTGAAAGCAGCTATAGAAAGAAAAATCAAATTTCTCAAGATATATGGAGATTCATCTTTGGTGGTGTATCAATTGCGAGGAGAATGGGAAACAAAAGATCCCAAATTGTTGGAATACCGAAATTTTACCCTCGAATTAGTGAAAGAATTTGAGAGAGTTACCTTCAATTATCTCCCTCGAGAAGAAAATCAAATGGCAGATGCTTTGGCTACATTAGCTGCTATGTTTCAAGCAACTAAGAAGGTTGATATGATGCCAATCAAAATGCAAGTATATGAAATTCCTGCACATTGTTATAGTGTGGAAGAAGAGGTAGATGGTAAACCATGGTATCATGATATTCTGCAATATATCAAAAATCAAAGTTATCCACCAAATGCATCAGAAATTGATAAAAGAACTTTGAGAAGAATGGTTGCTGGATATTTTCTTGATGGAGAGATTATGTATAGAAGAAGCAGTGATCAAATGCTATCGAGATGTTTAAATACCAGCGAAGCTCGAAACGTCATTGAAGAAGTACACAGTGGAATATGTGGAACACATGCAAATGGTCTTTCCATGGCCAGAAAAATAATGAGATATGGATATTATTGGGCTACTATGTACACAGATTGCATTGATTATGCAAGGAAATGTCATAAATGCCAGATATATGCAGACAAGATTCATGTACCCCCATCTCCTCTACATGTAATGACAGCACCCTGGCCATTTTCTATGTGGGGAATAGATGTCATTGGAGCAATCACACCAAAAGCATCGAATGGACATTGCTTCATCCTTGTGGCAATTGATTATTTTACCAAATGGGTTGAAGCTGCTTCATACACCAATATTAAGAGGTCCACAGTCTGCAAATTCATAAAGAAAGAGATAGTTTGCCGATATGGTCTACCAGAAAGGATCATTACAGATAATGCTCTGAACCTGAACAACAAAATGATGACTGAACTTTGTGCACAGTTTAAGATCAAACATTCAAACTCAGTGGCATATCGTCCAAAGATGAATGGGGCAGTTGAAGCAGCAAATAAGAACATCAAGAGAATCATTACAAAGACTACTGAAACTTACAAAGATTGGCACGAGAAGTTACATTTTGCTCTATATGCATACCGAACTACTGTTCAAACATCTACTGGGGCAACACCGTTTTCTCTAGTCTACGGAATGGAAGCAGTTTTACCAATTGAAGTTGAGATTCCATCGCTTCGAATATTGAGAGAAACAAAATTGGATGAATCTGAATGGATCCAAGCAAGATTTGATCAATTGAACCTTATTGAGGAGAAAAGATTGAAAGCTATTTGCCATGGACAAATGTATCAAAAACGGATGATGAAGTCTCATGACAAAAAAGTACATCCAAGAGAATTCCAAGAGGGTGATCTAGTACTAAAAAAGATCTTGCCTATACATAAAGATTTCCGTGGGAAATGGATGCCTAATTGGGAAGGGCCATATGTTGTAAAAAAAAACCTTTTCCGGAGGAGCGTTGATCTTGGCAGAAATGGATGGAAAAATTCTGAGAAATCCAATAAACTCGGATTCTGTCAGGAAATATTATGCTTGAAGAAAAAAAAAGAAAGAAAAGAAAAAAATAGAAAAAAAAAGAAAAAAGAGAAAAAGAAGAAAAAGAAAAAGGAGGGTCAAGGTGAAAACCCGCAAAGGGCATCTTGTAACCAAAGGAAGGATTTGAGTTGAAAACTTGAAAAGGCGGCTCAAAAGCAGGTTGATATTAGGCATCTGGCAATTGGACCCTCTTAAGATTTTGACAGTTTGGGAGAAACTTCACATCTACAAGCATTTCGACAACGTTTGAGATCTTCCAGACAAAAGCTTACATCATTACTCTAAATTGTATCAACTTGATTAATTTAGAAATACTCATGCTAATAATTTGTTGAGACATTTGAATTATTCTTATGTTTGCCATAACTTTGAATACAATTCTATTTATTTCAAATTCAATTTATTTGAGATTTAATTTATTTTTGGAAATTCAATTTATTCTTCTATGATTTAACATAATTTTGAAATAAATTAAAGATTTCTGAATATCACTTTATGTTAATACTTTTGAATACATGGAATACAAAGTAAGCAAATCATCACTAGCTTAAAGCCATGAACATCAAGATTATTACACGGGATCCTACCGACAACAAAGTCGAATCCGCCAAATCTACTCATCAATTGCTCCAACCGATCACCATTCAGTTCTTGCACATCTGTTTTCAAAAATATACTAAGACAATAAAAGGTGATCTTTGCAGCACTGATTCCAACAAAAGGAAACAAGACATTGATATCACTGGGAAATATGTCTCTATACAGATCCTTGTGTATGGTTTTGAAAGAAAACTAGAAGTATTTCCACCTCATCAGGTTCAAGTGGAGCAACTTTATTCCTTCCAACCCATACTAGATTCCATTCTCAGCACTCATCAAGAACATACTTCTGGACACTTGAAGGTGGCTCATTGTCATAAGCTTCAAGTGCATTACAGATCCTTTCTGTCAATTTGGCACTTCCTGTACATATTTATAAACAGTTTAACTTTATTCTTGGATCCCAGGAAGGCCATCATTTCTTTGTCAATGGAAAAACATCAGCACATGGAGGAAGCAGAATAAGAGAAAATCTGTTCTCAATTGGCAGAATTATGAATATAGCCATTTTCAGTGTAGTAGCATGGAAATGCTTCGAATCTACAAATTTTGGCTCTACATCAAATAAGCACTGTGATATCCTAGTCCAAACATTAACTGAAAGAGACTCAATAGCATCTTCTGGAAGTGTTCTTTGAGTTATCTGATCTGGTTGGACAGAACCAATCATTGAATTTAGAAGATGAATTTGCCAATAGCATCTTCTGGAAGTGTTCTTTGAGTTATCTGATCTGGTTGGACAGAACAATCATTGAGTTTAGAAGATGAATTTGCCAATAGCATCTTCTGGAAGTGTTCTTTGAGTTATCTGATCTGATTGGACAGAATCAAGCATTGAGTTTAGAAGATGAATTTGCCAATAGCATCTTCTGGAAGTGTTCTTTGAGTTATCTGATCTGGTTGGACAGAACAATCATTGAGTTTAGAAGATGAATTTGCCAATAGCATCTTTTGGAAGTGTTCTTTGAGTTATCTGGTTTGGTATGAACCCAAAAAACCAATCATTGAATTTGGAAGATGAATTTGCTCATAGTAAAAATAAGGATACTCAATAGCATCTTCTGGAAATGTTCTTTGAGTTATTTGATCTGGTAAGAACTACAGAACCAATCATTGGAATTAAAAGATGAACTGCATGATTATATTCATTAAGAAGCTTGTTTTCAAGCTTCCTCTGCTTCTTCCTTTTCAAAAATCATAGCCCAAGTTTCGCCTTTGCTTGTAATTGGGATCATTGCATAATGACTCCCTATTTTTTACCAGAAGAAGTGCATCAGCAGCCTTAGTCATTTGAGCAGCACATATAAAATTTGCCAATTCTGCAATTGATGAATCTGGACCACATTTCTCCAGGGCTATTGAAGTTTCAGCCCATGAGAATCCCATTTTTGTCAAGTATAACAGTTTATTCTCCTCATCAGAATCAGAATTCAAGATTTCTCGGTATTAGAAGAACTATCGATATCTGTGAAATCATCTTGAAAGGTCACTTCATAATCAGATGAATTGTTATCAGAATCAACATGTTGCCTGAATGCAAGCTTTTCAAGAGCCTATACTATTGAGTTTTATTCTCAAGAGGTTTTGTGACATTATATCTACATCTACATTTGTCAAAGATGATATATTCTTTGATTTGAAAAAGAAAGATCTATTGGGTTTTTACAATTGAAGAAATATTCAATTCACCAATCTGAAATCAAATAACTTAACATTCATGCATCATATTTTAGGTGTTTACAAAAATAGGTGCATTTTCATTCATTTTTATTCTTGTTGAATTTTTAACAGGAATTTCAAAGATTTTAGCAAAGATTCAAGTCTATCATTTGAAAGATTAGCTTTTCCAGAGAAAGTTCATAATGAGAAGAACTCATCTGAAGAAGGAAGAAGAAGTTCATAATTAGAAGAATTTGTTCAACCTTTTACCTGAATCCATCATTTGAGAGATCAGCTTTTCCAGAGAAAGTTCATAATGAGAAGAACTCATCTGAAGAAGGAAGAAGAAGTTCATAATGACAAGAATTTGTTCAACCTTTTACCTGAATCCATCATTTGAGGGATCATCTTTTCCAGAGAAAGTTCATAATGAGAAGAACTCATCTGAAGAAGGAAGAAAAAGTTCATAATGAGAAGAATTTGTTCAACCTTTTACCTGAATCCATCATTTGATGGATCAGCTTTTCCAGAGAAAGTTCATAATGAGAAGAACTCATCTGAAGAAGGAAGAAGAAGTTCATAATGAGAAGAATTTGTTCAACCTTTTACCTGAATCCATCATTTGATGGATCAGCTTTTCCAGAGAAAGTTCATAATGAGAAGAACTCATCTGAAGAAGGAAGAAGAAGTTCATAATGAGAAGAATTTGTTCAACCTTTTACCTGAATCCATCATTTGAGAGATCAGCTTTTCCAGAGAAAGTTCATAATGAGAAGAACTTATATGAAGAAGGAAGAAGAAGTTCATAATGAGAAGAATTTGTTCAACCTTTTACCTGAATCCATCATTTGAGGGATCATCTTTTCCAGAGAAAGTTCATAATGAGAAGAACTCATCTGAAGAAGGAAGAAGAAGTTCATAATTAGAAGAATTTGTTCAACCTTTTACCTGAATTCATCAATTGATGGATTATCTTTTCCGGAGAAGTTCATAATGAGAAGAACTCATCTGAAGAAGAAAGAAGAAGTTCATAATAAGAAGAACTTGTTCAACTTTTTGCATAATTCTATCGCAGAAGGAGATAGATTAGCATCAGCCTTTCTAGAAAAAGTTCATAATGAGAAGAACTCATCAAGAGCTTATTCAACCTTTTGAATGACTCTATCACAGAAAGGAGGTCATCATCATCCCCAGCAGAAAGTTCATAATAAGAAGAACTTATCTGGAGAGAGAAGAATTTATTCAATATCTCCATTATGATCAAAGTAAAGTCAAAATGGATAAAAAATTTTATTATCTTTTCATCTTTGCCCTATTCTTGTTAACACAAGAATGAGCAAAGAGGGGCAGCTGAAGATATTAATTTTTTATCCATATTATTATTA